AAAAAAAAAAAAAAAAACATCAGTTTCTAATATGTTCTATTGCAGACATTAAATAGTAAAAAGTTGATTGTTTTATTTAATTTTTTCAATAGTGAGAAGATGTCAGACAATGAAGGAATGGTTTACGAAGAGGATGGTGACATCCAAGATGAAGGTACAACGGAAATAGAATATCTTGAGTCTGAGATGCAAGAAATCAAACCTGTGTATGTGAAAGAAGAACATAACGAGAAAAGATACTCACTAGGAGAGAGAACAAAAAAAACAGACAAGTCTCTAACAAAAGACACAACACAAAAAAACCGTTTTATTCCTATACGACCAAAACCTTATCCTAGTGCTCTGATAATCAAGCAACAGACAGGTGAAGATTTATCCGCAACCAGTGTACCTGTGTTGCCACATCACATTATCGTAACTATCCCCAGCAAGGATAAAACACAATATATCTTCCCTACTAATGTTAGCCTCAATAAGAACATCAATGAGAAGACAATTAAATTGAATGGTGACACTAAAATTGTTCCAGTAAAGACCAGAGTTCAAACTAATGAGAAAGTAATCAAAAAGTCATGTCAAAGCATTGCAACAAATAAAGTTGTACATAATGTTAATAAGGCATCACCAGTATCTAGTAAGGACAGCATTGAATTATTTTTTGAGAGTATGGCACAAAGTGTGTTAAATCTGCCTCAGAGAGTACAAGCAAACATTAAAATGAAAATCTGTCAAGTAGTCACCATGGCAGAGATCAAGTATAGTAATAATAACAAAACAAAATCAAGACCTACTTAAACTTAAAAAATGTGTAATTAAGCTTGCAATGCAATCTCGCAATACAGCGCGAAAAAAAACATCGTAGGCTTTAGTTATTAACTGAAGATCATTACTAATCTTATTTCAAGTTAAAAATTGTATTAGAGTTAAAAACATTATCATATTTAAATTAAATACATTTGTTAAATATAAATATTTGTTAAAAATAATATTTATAGCAATAATAAACAATAAGTTTATAAATCAATATCAAATAAGATCTTGAGTCGTATCATAGTTTATTTTTAATAAAAGTTTTCATATTGAATTAAATTGTTGTCTTTTACATGTAAATGACATACGTTTTTGTTCCTACGTGTTTTATCTATGGTCTGCTGTTTCGGTCTCGACGTACGCAAATTGCAATAGCACGTAGACATTAAAACAATGAGAAACGATCTGTGTATATTGACGAACAACGTAAAGAAGTATAGGATTTATTATAATTGTATATGTAATCACAATTGTGTGTGTTATGTGTAATATATTTTAAGTCGTACAATATTTCTATGAATTTCGATTTTTAAATATATATGGCCCGCTCATATAAAAAGCATATTGTATAAATAAATTAGATATATTTAAAGAAAGTTTTGTTTGCGAACAATTGTGAATGGATGATGTTGAATTTCGTCAAATTGTAATAACAGAATAAAAATAGAAAAAGAGTAAAAGTTCCAACAATGTGATATTTCTAAAATTATTACATAATTTTAGAATTATTTTATAATAACTTCAAAAATATCAAATTGTTGGTATGTGTATTGTATATATATGTACGCACTATCACAAAAAATATAGAAAATCACATTTTAGTATATAAAAAAATTAACATAGAAACGAGTTGATTACTTCGAGTGATATCAAAGTTTTGGTAGTCGCGCATCATAAGTTATGTAATAAAGGGTAAGACACACACATATCTCCATATATACCTGTAATAAAACTCAAAAATACATAAATTTATATCTAAAGCTTAAAAAACCTAAGGTTAAAAAAAGAAATGCTACCTCTCACAGCCTCGAATTTTCCCTTGACTTTTTAAAAATGAAAAGAAATGTATTTTTGCTTTTTTTTTTAATAATTGTGAACATATTAAATTTTGCGTTACGTGTATATTAAATTTTATTAAATATTAAATTTTACGTTATGTGTATAAATTTCTGAACAAGCTAAACAGAGTGACTTCAATCGAACATTCATTGCTTCGTAAAGATTAACTATGAACTATGTGAGTGGTAGGCTGAGGATTGATTTATATATCTAAGAACAAAGTAAACTAAACTCATTAGATTGTTATCCTATTTAAGTCACAAACACACGTTGATACGCGCATAAAATTCACAAAAAAGCCTCGATAAAATAATGCTTCCTCAATATAAGTAATTGTAAACAAAAAGTTACTCCAAAACACGATACGTTAAAATAAGAATAACACTAATTGTCCAGATTTTGTTAGTTGGTCAAACTGAGTTTTAAGTTGCGCATATTTTTGCTTTCTCATATTTATTACAGATATATCATGACATTAGCGCGTTGAAGATAGAGCATATCCATTTATAATGCATACACAATCACTCCCAATATGTCACGATGTTCTATCTAAATGACTAATGGCTCGTGCACATACAATATAATATGTAAATTGCGGTATGCCGTTAATACTACTAAAGTAACAAAGCGTGATGCCATATTTCTCTTCACTTGTTTTATCATATGTCTGCCGATATTGTTATGTGAGATGGGGTACGTCTTTTTTGTGAATCTAATCACTTTGAGCATATTATGTCTACTTGGAATGGATCTCGGAACGAATCTTTTTTTTTTTTTTCGTCTAGTAGTCGCTGTTGGAAAGAAAGTCCTTCAATACGTATGAAAAATTTAATACACGCAGACTACTTTCGTCTTTTGCTATGAATAATATATTAATTAAATATGGTATAACAAGATATATCTGCAAAGCAAACTAAAAGAAAACCAATAGTTCACTTCTTGAATTTCTTGGATTGTTCGTTACTCTTGCACCAGCTCTTGTCGCAAATTTGTTGGATATAGCCTTTACGATCATTTAAAATGTATCTAAGTACTTTTTTTTTTGTTTTGGAAGATCGTACCCAAACCTTGATCTCTATATAATAAATTTTCATATATATCTTTTGGACATCTTATTTATTAATATAGATAAATTTTTACACGTATATAAGTCTTTTTATCTTTGTAAAAAGAAATATATACAGATGTAAAAATCGTAATATAAGATATTCACTCGGTAATTATCGGTGTTACAATTTTGCGTGTGTTTCACTTTGGTAAACGTATTTGTGCTTCTCTAACGAGTTTGTGTCCTTGCCAAAGCATATCTGCTCACTGTAAAAAGTTAAATACGAAAGCACTGTGCTTGTACGAGTGAGAGATATCCGGATATAAATACAGAGACGAATCGCGAGCTGCTAATGAAAATATCCTGTAAAATAATTTATTTCAAACAAATGTAAATAATTTTTAGAGCCTGTGAATCCTGTTGCTAGTAAACATAACTAGAAATTGACAATTAATAATGACGTAATATATAATATAAAAAATTGATCAAAATTAACAAAACAATTGATATTGAATAATGAATATATTAAATATTAAAGCAATAATAATATATAAACGCAAACGTGAAAATATTCTGAACAAGACAAAAAGCAAAGATATAAAGCGTGTACGAACAATTTAAAGCAAGATCAACGTCGTGAAGCTTCCCTCGGTGGCGATACTACTGTCTCATAATTTGTATCCTTGTTATTTTTTCGTTTTTTTAAATATTTTTTTTGAATAAGTTTAAAAAGAAATGCAATACCAATGAAGGTAAAAGACATTAAAGGCGCAAAAGCCTCGTCTTCTCTTCGACACTATCGCAGAAAGCATTATATGCTAATTGTTCATTCTTCTTCCTTTTCGGCCTTCTCCACATCCTGTTTCTCCTCGCCCTCCGACGGATCGCCACTTTCGAATTTCGGACCCGGTGCTTCGTCACCTTCAAGAACGATTTCTTCTGGATCGGGCGCGCGCGGCAAGAAGTCCTCATCCGGATACATAGATTTAAATATGTTCTTAGCCTAGAAGTCAGACAACACAATTGTATATAAATTATTTAAAGTTATATAATTATTTAATTTATAATTATTATGTATATAATTATTTTTGCCTTTTTTATGTCACATATACGTAGTGTATGCAATATATACCTGATTTACAGCAAAGTCAAAATCGAGTTCGAGATCTGGTCCGGAACAAAGGTGGATGTTACTTGGCGCGGAGTCGCTCAACTTAATGTCGCTCGCAGGTAAATTTAGATACAAAGACCACAACACTTGAGGTACTGGATATTCGATTTCTTCCTTTCCTCGTTGATCGCCATCCTAATATAAATAATTTAAAAAGAAATTGAAAAAAAATAATAAAGTATTCGACCAAAGTTCACTCAAAAGTGATAAAATATAGATTATTTTTCATGAAATTCACCTGAAGATGTCGTTTGTCAGGAGAGACTGTTTGAGTGTGAATATCAGAAGAACTACGTGCAGCGCTGGGATCGAGAGGCTCAGCTCTCAGGAACTTATTCACGACATATGCTAGATCCTCCTTGGCATTATTGGTGCGTTTGCATGTCATATGAACCATGACTAAGAAAAACAAGCGTTCTATAGAAGTCTGTGCAATTTTGAGATATGTGGTGCATTTTTGTTGTACGTACACAATCCTTGCGGACAAGCGTTGGTGGATGGTCCCAATTCAATTAGGGTGACAGGTTCTTGACCTGCTTCTTCCGGCGGGTAGTACAAAAGGGTTAAACTTTCTTTGTCGCCTTGCATAATCGACCTGATTTTAACAAAGCAATATTTTTGACATATTGTATACATACACACAACGATTAGCTCAACTATACAAAATTATAAAAAGAAATTACCTGTCAGTGATAAAAATTCCACGCGAAATTTGATTCTCTCCCTCGGAGGCTACGATTTCCGGTGGCAAGTGTCCTTGTCCTACAACTAAATGCTCCAAGGCCAATCTTTGTTTCCCAGTGATAATAGCTTTGCATTTGTCGTCGTTAACTATTACACCGTCCAACTGTCTTTTCAAGCAATAAACTCCACCGAAAACTGCACACAATCTGCACAGAAAAAAGTGAAAAGTATTATATCTGTAAATGATGGTAAAAAACACGTTTCTCCTTAAAAACTATTTCATACATTTCCGCATTAAAAACTGTACCTGCAGAAGCATTGAGGCAATTCACCGCTTCCGTACATAGGCCACAAGAATGGTGTATTTCCGTAACGTCCGAGACTATTGAGAAAATGTTTTGTACGATTAACGCCGTCCCTGCAGGATGTCTTTTCCGTCGCCATCGCAATAGCTTGTACGACATAATGCTGTACTATAGGCGTGAGATTTTTGGTATTTAGATATTCTAAGAACGTTTTATCACGAAAACCTGAAAATGGCAAAAAGTATGTATCATTAATAATTCAAAAGTAATAGAATAAACCCACGCTTATAACATCTTTTATAAAGTCGTATACCATCGAATTCTGGGCTATCGGCGCCTTGCTCCATGCAAGATGTTAATAGTTGCATTAACATTCTCTTCTCAACTACGCTGACTGTCTTATTGGCAAATACATCGGCTCGAGAGCAAGGAACTTGCGTAAGTTTGCCATCCATATAAGTGGCGACTCTGGAGACCGCGCGAAATTCGGCGTAACGCGCAATGTTGCTAGAAATCAATAGTTCTACTAATTCGCCACGGGCAAATAATAACTGCAATGAGAAAATGTCATCATATATATATGTGTGTATTTTAAAAATTATAAAAATCACGTATCTTTGTGCGCAAGTCTTACTTTAGGTGCCAAATCGATATTAAATCTTCTATATTCTTTTTTTATACGATCTATGCTCCATTGTTTAACGATTTCTTTCTTGTCAGCCTTGTCCTGATCAGTCTTTTCGGTGCCTTCGACGGCAGCGCTATCTCCAGAACCTTCGGTCTGGGTAACTTTTGAGGAAACATCAGGCAAATCTGCCTCTCTATATGAAAAAGAGACAAACTAGTCAGAAGAAAATATACAAAACATTTTAAAAGATTATTAAACAATTATTTTACGTGACTGATTCTCCTTACTTGAAAATATACCAGATTTCTTCAATGTTCTCAACTGTAGAATATTGATCACTAGCCTTCAAAAATTTTTCATCTGCCTCCAAATTGACATTTACATTTCTAGTATTATTTTTAGCTGCTTTTAGATCTTCCATCCATTTTTGTAAACCATCAAAATTGAACGTAGCCCAAAGTCCTCCATAATACTCATTGCTAAATAAAAAAAAAACACAAAATTTTATTTAATAATGCATTGATATTATTGTAACTATAAATACAAGTTCTCTTATCATATTTCCTGTAATAAAGTAAATTGCTTTATCTCTGACGTTATGATAATATTTCAATCAAAATATCTTTATTTTCACTTATCAGTAAGTAAATAAATACTTTGTTCATATAGATATAACTTTGACAAATAAAAAGTCTTGGTATTATTTTCAAATAAAATTTTAAAATTATTTGTTCATTAAATAGAAAATATTATTTAATGTTTTATTTTAAAATGTTTGCAGATAAAAATGCTAATGCTTGATATATTGCAATTATAATTCTTTTATTTAATATAAATGCTAATATTTCTCCTATATGACATTTCTATATTATATATATGTACATATGTTACATATTTCATATATGTATAATAAAATATTAATAATGAGTTTCAAGGCTCTTGAAAATCAAACAACGTGAAATTTTCGGTCAATGAGAGCCATACGCTGAATGTTTTTCGCGTATTTTTTATATGCATATATATATATATATATACACATATATGTTCGTGTAAATTTTTATACGAGAGTTTCGAATTAAAATTTCAATTCTTAAATTCATATAGGATGCTATATTTGCATCACATATATGAGAGACCTCGTATTGAAATTTCAATTTGAAACTCTCGTGTGCAAATTTACACGACATGTATGTATAAATGTGAACATACATGTATATATATATATATATAAAATACGCGATAAATATCCAGCGTACGGCACTCATTGACCGAAACTTTCACGTTATAAAATATTGAATTGCATTAATGTTGTTTGCTCAAGTATGCCGAACAAATCACGCGTATGTGAAAATAATTAACGGTACATCGGCAGTAAAGGAATTCAATGAAGACCCGGTGCCGGCTGGACAATTGAATATTACCTGTCTAGATGTAGAACCTTCTTGCCGATTCTGCTCGCTGCCGCGGCAACGATGGATTCGGTCATACCTGTCGAAAATCATGACAACAAACGGAATTATTAGCGTGAAACACCGTTTCCTGGTAGAAACGCGAGCAACTCTCTTTTTCATTTTTGATAAAAATCAATACCTGTTCCTACGACGACCACGTCGTACTCGGTTGGCAGATCGTCCTCCATGGTTGTAATGTCTCTATCTTGCAGCTGACTCGGACTTTACGGTTGATAATCGGCGCAAATACAACGAAACGACGACTCTGCGATATCGTGCGAAAAACGATTGCAAACCGATCAATTCATCTTTGTCAGTGCAATAGAACACTGACGAAATTCGCGTTAAAAGCGGCCCCACCCCGCACCACACAAGCTTTCACTCCAGCTCACTCCAGCTATCGCACGGCCCTTCACCCCTTTTTGCTCCAAGTTTGACAGAACGTGCAATACGCCAAGAGCAACGGTGGCGAACAAGGAGATTGCGACGTGGAGGGAGAGAGATCGTTAAATTCGCTGTCTTGCTCGTGACAGCCGGCTTATCTCGACCGTCGCGCGCTGACTGTTCCGCGGAACAACAGCGAAACACGCCGATGCTCAAGGACAATGCAGAGAGCAGAGAGAAATCTAATAGAGCCGACACGGAGTGACCTTACTGGTTATACATACTGTGGTTTGGTGCAAATGTTGGATCCAAGGACCGTGTTAAGCTAGTCCATACGCCGTTCTAAGAATTCCATGAGTGATTGACTTCTGAATGTACAGATGGCTCCAGGGATTGTTTGTATGTATAGATTATGCATATACACACGGCGTCAAAAATTCGCGGAGTAGGCGCGGGGATCGGAGGGCAAGCGGGGGGNGATTTAACAAATCCACAATGTAGTCGCGTATAACTAACGGCAAAAACGTGTTGAAATGTGTTCACACGTATTCACTTACACATTCGTATTTAGTTCATGCCAGGTACGAGGTCTTATAGAAGGCGCCACTAACGCTGGTACACGCAGTTTGGTGGCCCTGATCAGAAGCCAACTGTAATCTCAAGTCGTTACATTTCCAAGTTAACAAATACACAAATTTGTGTGTATAAAACATAATCAGTGAATTAAAAGTTGTGGATTTTCTCTACTGTAATTTTTAATAAAAACGCTTTGAGCAAAGTGCAAAGAGAATTATTAGAAAATGGTGAGCAGTTTGAAACCGGAATGCTCCTTTTCTTCATGGTATCCGATATTTGAAAAGGTTTCTTTGAAAGCCACGATTCTTCATATTCCTGACGAGATTTTGAAATATTTGGAGCATGACGCATTTGTTCTGCCAGTAGAAGCGACACAAAGATTACCAGAGAATTCCGAGTGGGCCGACGGTTCACTGGTGATCGATGAGGAAAAGGTTAGTTTAAAATTTTTTTTTTTCTAGTCGCAAACACATGTGCACTATGATGGAATTCTATGATAGCTATGTAAAATTGTTTTTAACGTTGTAGGAAGCGGAGTATCAACCAACGTTTCCGGAATTCAGTAAAAAAATACAAGATGTGTTAGATGAGTACGATGCAGTATTTGTCAAAACCAATTGGAGCTCACCTGTGGTAAAACTTTTTTGTTGCACAGTTGCCATGTAGCAATATAATAATTTATATTTTTATTTGCATGTGCAATTTTTTGTGCACAGGATGCAACATGGGTTGCGCCAACAAAGACTCTCCGATGTAAAACATTAGAAGAAATCTATTTACTATTGAAAAGCTCCGATAGAATCGCCAAAGATTTGACCACGGTGAAATCCTTAAAAGAAAGTGAACATTCTTTGAAGTCTTGTCTAGTATTGAAACAATGGCGAGATATCAATCCTTTCACAGAATTTCGCTGCTTTGTTATGAACAATGAGCTTATTGGTAATTCATCAACTCGGTTTTATTTTTCTTGTTCAACTACTAAATTTTATTTAATATAATCAACTGCCTCCGTTTTTTTCTGTCTGCTGTTACAAAGTTCAACTTTTGTGATAACAAATTGCGTCTTATGCAGCTATAAGTCAGAGGGATATATCGCAATACCACAGTTCCAACGAGTCAGAAAAATATAGTATACAGACAGACATCAAGAGCTTGTTTTCGGAGTACATCAAAGGCAGATTTCCGTTAAGTAATTGTAAGCATTGTGCTAAAGATCAAGTAATTGTGGTGTATTTGTATGATCGTATTTAGTTGTGGAGTTTGTCTCTCTTGCAGATTCCTTCGATGTCGTGCGACGTAAAAAAGATAGAGTGAAGATCGTTGATTTTGGTCCGATAGACGAGTCGTCCACGAAGGATACGCTCTTCACGTATGAGGAATTACAAAATCATATCGATGAAACGCCCGAGTTTCGATTTATTGCGGAGGAAATCGGCATTCAACCGAAGCCCCCTACGCACGTCTGCGTTCCGCAAGAGATCAGCGAATTTCTTCAATCGAGTGATAACGTCTCATTGTTGGACGCTATTCGAAGAGTACGTTTTTCAATTTGTTAGAGAAATACACGCTTGCAAATTTTTTTGTTTTATGACAAATTTGATATTCTGTTTTCTTGTTTTTTTGTTTTGCAGGAGGTGGAAAGTCAACGGAAAGAGCATGAGAAAGAAAATGCCGACGGTTTAGAAAGTACGTGATGTATATACAACGATAATAAACAGTTTTTCTTACATATGAACAGTCGGTTATAACTTTGTTACATATACAAGGAATGCGGAACTTAGAGAGAAGAGAAATGTAAGTTCTCGATTACACATTATACCTTTCTCAAGGAGAAACGAGACTAAGATCTATACTGTACGAATTAGTAAATATATACGATTATACACAACAAATGAATTCCCCTACTTGTTCACTTCTATATATTACATTTTAGCCCGTTTAAGTCCTAAGCTTTGAGATCATTCGGTTACATTAGTGCTAAAAGAAACAATCGAACTTGCTCGAATTATTTTTCAGAACGTCTGCTGCACAATTTCTCTCTATTTCGTTACGACATACGTTACAGGAGATTCTAAGTTACCTGTATGCAACATAGACCACAATTTGTCAGTTAACTTAAACTCGATTACTCTCTTACTCACGTTTTGGAACGCGACGCATTTGTGTTTCTGTGTATGTATGTGTGTGTATGTTAATGAATGTACACCGACAAGATGTTTAAATACAGAACTTTCACTTTTATTCTGCCAAGACCCTTCTTTCTATCATTACATTACATAAAACGATTAAAGGCTATCCTACCGCTTGAAAGAATTATCATAATATTGCAATATTTTTCGAGCCATCGGCCTTTTTTTTTTTTTTTAACCGAGCGACGTCCCTTATATAGAAAATATGTCTTGTGTTTATATACAATATGCAATCCTTAATACTTCAGTTTTGAAAAAGGATTCCCGATATATGTATCTTCGGACAAGTTAACACGCTGTACAGTCATATCCACGGAGTATTTTCATAGCTTTCTCTCTCCCTTTTTTCTCCTCCCTCGTCTTTTCTCACTTCACAGTCTTCAGAAAAAAAAACAAAATCCATAGGATCATCAGACAACACTACTGCTGTGCGATTTTACAAGTTTTCCATTAGTGGACCGCGCGCCTCAGTTACTAAGAGCCGAGCCCTGCTCTCGCAAGAAGATTCTGCAGCTTTTTGCATCGCATCTCGCACTTTGCAAAATTCTATTAAGTCTTAAACATAAAAAATAAATAATGTGTTAAATACTAATGATATTAAACTTTTTGTATTATAATATTAATTTCGCGTAAATTTAACTGCAACAGTAATGCAAAGATTACATATAGCTCTTATGTAACTAAACTAAAATCATATGTACATCCACATACTAGAGAATTAGTACAACAAAATAATTTTTCTCTACAGTGTTAAAAAGTTATATACATAAGAAAAAAATTAAAAAAAAAAAAAAAAACTTTTAAAACGTACGAAATAAAAAGTATTTTATAAGTACTGGACAAGCATTATTTCTAAATTTTATACAACATTAAAATAAATAATGCTATACGCGCTTTCTATCGTATATCTTTTTATCATATAAAATTTAATTATGCTACTACTTGATGAAAAAAAAAAAAAAAAAACAAAATATCTTATGTTGGTTTCACATTTTACACTAAATATCGACTGTTTAAGCTTACTCATTTCTTTCTATCTTAAGCCTTTGGGATTATAATTAACCAAAGCTTATGTTATTATTAATTAAAATAGTACGTGCAATACGATGAAAAAAGTTGCGAGATCGATTCGCGAAATGAAGCCCTATTTACAGAGTGTCCCTTTTTCTTACGAATAAAATATGGATTACTTCGTCGCTGCTTTGTTATACAGAAAACCTTTCCGCGTTTTTAGTTGCGATTGCAATTTGTGCATCAGTTCCTAATATATATATATATATGTATATATATATATATATATATACGCAAATCTCAGTCAAATCGGCTGGATTTTATCTGAAAGGTCAAGCATCTCTTTGTGTGACAAGTTCTATAAAAACTTCAAAGATTCTTTCTTTAAACAAAAAGATGGCAACAATTACTTGTAGCACAAAGACAGACAAAATATTTTTAAATTCACTTAAAATAATTTATATGTATACAATATTACATAATATTTATATATATATTTCAAATAAATAATATATATTATATAAATATACAAAATATACTATATATAATATATATTATATATTTTTTATTCGTGTTATATAATATACAATTGATACGATTAACTAGAATGGAGCGCTTGGTTCCTTCCATATAAAAACCTTTCAGTTTCATAACAGATTCCGGACATGCGTGCCCCTTCTCGCAAAAGGGGTTGTCCTTGCGCAGCGCGTCGCTTTTGAAAGAGACACTTGGTACAATGTTTTTTGTTTCTTACAGTGCGTATGTATGTATAGCAGTGTGTGTACCATCTAAGAATGTTCCCTTCGCAAAATGTGTTTTTGTTTCTCTTTCTCTCTCTATTTTATTTTATTGTTATGTACACAGAAGCACTTCTTTCTTTTCGCATCTTCAGAGATGACTGTACCTGATCTGTGTCCGTCTGCTCGTTATCAATTTTGCTTCGCGTTTCTCAAAATGTGCACTCGTTCCCTAGGTCTCTTGGCTTGACACAATCCGATCGCTCATTTATATTTCTGATTTGTGCTAAACGACATTAGTAGCTTAACGAATGTACGTTTTGCAGTATATGACCACTTGCTTGTTCCGCAGAGTCTTTTTCCTCCGGTATCTCGCTCATTTTTTCTTCCGCTCGCGTTTATATTTGCTCGCATATACCTTTTGCCCTTCTTCACTCTTACTATACGTCGCTCGTTTTCAATGATATCAAAGTGACGTACTAATTACTTCACGCGCACACACACACACACACACACACACACTCTTTCTTTCTCACTTCTGTTTTTTTTTTTATTTTTTTTATTTTATTTTATTTCTCTTTCGCATCTTCTTTCACTCTCTTTCACTCGCTCGCACGTTTTCTCTCGAATACTGGTAGAGTGTTGAGTGACAAAAACAGTAGTCTTAACAAACATACGATACAAAAACTCTTAAGTTAATCGCTTAACGGCCAGTATAAAGCGGGTTATTTATTTTACCATTTTTTTCCTCTCTTTCTCTCTCTCTCTCTCTGTCTCATTTCTTTTTTTCTTAAGTACCTGAAAAATCTAGCTTTGGAAAATCTTGTCTCTCGCTTCTCAAGTTGAGATCTAGAACCGGTGAGGTCTTGGTGAAATTTTTCAGTAACGCGTTTTACGCTCTCATTCAGGTTTTAATAAGTCAATAGTCTCTTCAATTGACGGATCTTCATCACCGAATCGAAAAAAAAAAAAAAAAGAATCACCAAAATCGCACCGATTTTGATTCTCACTTCTCAAACGCAATTCTTAAATATTCCCCCTTCTCTTTTTTCTCTCTTTCTCTTTCTTTCTCCCGCTCCATCCCTCAGAAAAGTCCGTCTCGAACTTTTTGCCTTAACGACGAAGACTATACATCCTTCTATGATAAATGCGATTGGTACGACTAAATTGAGTGGCGAAAGGCCAGACTATCACCGACGAATCGTGTGGCACACCCGCGGCGTGCGCGCGAGCTAGAAGTTTATCTCTCCTTCATGACGTCCCATTCAAAAAATACGCATCTTTATTGTAGTGCGAGACGTTTGCTCGAAATTTTATACACGCGAAAACACTTTGCTCTCACCGACAATCTCCTCGCATTTCCTTCTCTCTGCCGTCTCTTTTTCTCTTTTACGGCTTTTCTCTCCCCCTCCCCCCATCTCTCTTTCTCTCTAATATATACAGGAAGATAGAACACGTCTCTCTTTCTTTTACTTTTAGCACGGGAATAAATAGACTGAACTCTCTTACTCTCTTTCTCTCTCTCTCTCTCTCTCTCTCTCTCTCTCTCTCTCTCTATCTCTCTCTACTCACTTTATACAAATAGCTTTAGTGAAAACGCGCGAGTCTCTCTTTCCTTAAGATACACTCATGGTAAAACAAAGAAACAATTTAAAAGAGATCGTGGAAGAAAACGACGCCACATTATCGTAAATGTATATTTAAATGGTTCTTCTGGAAAAATAACATTATCGTGTTTCAACGAATTACAGAGGGATTCGGATAATGTCCACGGATTTTCAACAGTTTGTTAAAAAATTAAATTGTCAATTATACACTTTTTCCTGTCGGGAAATATATATATGTGTGTATGATCGTGCGATAATTAAATAAATGAAATAACATATAATCAATCTACGTTTTGCTTTACAACGCAAAATATAACTCCATAAAAACATAAATTTTTAATTGCAAGATGATTTAAAAAGTACGATTTACAAATAAACAAGACAAACAACTCGAATACATATTGTTAAGCTATACGAAACAAATATTATATTACTGCAGTAACAATGATATTTTACAAAAATGTATTTTCTTTTTTTTTTACCTACTTCTGCAGTCTTCGATACGGCGCATTAACATAAATATTGCTTAACATATTTTTCCATATATTAACTGTTGAATTATATTATAGTTCTTCGCTCGAATTTTCTCTTTTTTTTTCTCCTTCGAAAAATTTGCTGTTTTTCATTCATGTTTCTTCAGAAGCAATTTGAATCATATAAATAATCGCACAAAATAAACTGTAATCGAAATTATAAATTTAAAACCAAAAATTATTTTTTTTTAAATTGCGTAATTCATCTATAAATGTTCGCGTCACGAAATCAAAGAAATTCATCAGGATTGTCAGATATTGAAATCTTTATGTTCGTGATTTGTCAGATATTGAAATCTTTACGTTCTATTGCGAGAGATATGGATAGAGATATATAAATTTACGTGATAATCAAGATAAACTAGAAAAACATCAAGCGCACGAGGTAGGTATCTATTGCTCGTCCTTTAACTGAATGTAAAACCGAAGTAAATGTGAAAATACGCGATAGTTACATTTGTAGCGAAACGATTAAATCACATGTGTCTCACAGAAAAACAAAACGTGTTAATAATTTCATTCAGTATTGGCGTACGTGTAGAATGTGTAAATCAGAAAGAAATAGTGTAGTAAAAAACTTATTTCAATTATTAAAAAACACTACAATTACTAAAAATTACTATTACATATCAAATGTTACTCACGTAACAGTGTTATTACATTTTAGAGCTATACCAAAATGCAAAAATAATCAATAATCGAAGTAGCAAATAGAATTAATATCAATAATGAAGTTTTTTTCTTTGATCTTTGCTTGGTGCTAAGTAATCGGTTATATGTTTTTCTCTTAAATGTGTACATATCAATAGAGCGCGTCACTCATTTTATATTTTCAAAATATTTTTAATGTAGTATCATGTTATAAAGTTTTCTTATTTTTTAATCCTGTTAACATGCATGATTACTGAAAAAAAAATATCTATAGGAAAATAAGAAGAAACTACATCCTATGAAAAGAGAATAAAAAAAAAAAAAATAAATAAAAAAAAAAAAGAATCAACGAACTGATTTAATAATTGATGATTGATTTACACATTCTACACGCTTATACCCGCCTCTCACATACATCAATTCATTACTTGACGAAGCCTTCACTTTGGTTCATATCACGTAATGAAACACTATTCACAGGAACACGGTTACACACTTGGATTACCTGAAGCTACGATTTGTTTCTTACATAACATCGAAAGAGAACAGAAAAAAGAGAGAAAGAATAAATCTCGAGTTTTTTTCTATATGTATATATATGTATATATAAATATATACATATATACACATATATATATATGTGTAATATGTATTGTTTAATTATATGTATATATGTATATATTATATCGCGCGCGCCGGGTAAAAATTTGGAATGGATATTAGCGCCCGACGACGTTCATTACATCATAATTCATACAACGAAATATATTTGAGGATGAACTCATTCTCTCGCGCAGCCTGTCCCGTTCTCACACAATTCTTTTACATTGTTATACAAAGGTTCAGAGTCCATAGTAAAATTCTCCAGTCACTCTCACACATCTCACAACAGCACATGGAAATACGATATAAATTCTGTACTCATCTGAAACAAAGTGAAGCATTTTTGTACTAAAGTGCAGCGATATATATATATATATATGTATATTATATTATACCTTTTTTTTTTTTTATATAATGAATTATCTACGCAAATGTACAATCGTGGATTTTTACATGCACCATGACAAGGTATGGTCGGGCCGTACAACAGATAGCTATTAGAATAATCCGTAGAACGTGCTTATTGCTACTCTGTCTTGTCTCTTTCTTAATATGTCTCTATAATGTATGCAGTTGTGTTTGTTTCAACTCCCTCTCATTTTTTTGGTAGAAGGATCGTCTGAAGAGAATATGCCGAGAATTCACAGCAACAATTGTTTCTTTTCTTTTCTCTTACAAAGTTAGAGTTATTATATATAGATACAGAGATATATAAGCATTACACGAAAGGCAAAGACGATGAATTCCAAAGAGACTGCACACATCCCCGTTCACTATATCCTAAATTGTTTTTTTTTCTTTTTTTCAAAGAGGATTTCTATTATTATTTGTCTATTCAGTCTGACCACACCATGTTACAACGTGGAATATCTCTTCAGCACAATATACTGTATATATTATGCTGGTAAAGTTGAATTATATAAATTCAGGCTCTCTTCTCTTTAACTCTGCGAGGGATCTTTTTATCATTGATCGTTAATTGTGGTTTTGCTTATCTCTGTTATTTGTTTATCTTAATATGCTTCTCTTCTCTCTCCCTCTCTCTCTCTCTCTCTCTCTCTCTCTCTCTCTCTCTTTCTCTCTCTCTCACTCAACTGTTCCTCGCTGCAAAATTTTATCGACTTGACTAGAAGATTGCGTTTACTAAACGATTCTTAACAATTCAAAATCTAAGTTTGCCATTACATAAACGATCTGTACCTTACACAATCTAATATCGTTAACACCTAATGGTAGAAGGATTGATGATCTACTACTGTGGTATCGACTCGAGAATTCTAATTAATAAACAGTACTCGCCTCTCTCTTGTACTCTCTCGTCATCTCGTTTCCTAACGCATACACTCACACATGTATCCATTCGCATGTACACGCAAACACGCATATCAACGTGAAATGGATTATATATTTATTCGTCAGTATTTAAATTCACGAATTATCTCTCTCTCTCTCTCTCTCTCTCCTTTCTCTCTCTCTCTCTCTCTCTCTCTCTCTCTCTCTCTCTCTCTCTCTCTTTCTCCCTCTCGCTCGCTCGACTGAATCTGCGGTGGCGCAAGCGTTAAATGTTCCAACAGCTTTAAATCACGGAATTCGCGTCCAAGCGCTTGTAGTTAATATTTACAATGCCATCACCCGCTACGGATTTTTCAATCGGTAATTTAAGATCGTTTAAGATACTGTATGAATCGTATTCTGTTTCGATCGCACTGAAACGCCTGCGCCGCTCTGTCGCTTCGAAAGCCACGAAAGCGACTAATGATATAGTAACACATTGCGGTATTCGCGCGAGCGTTCGATTGCTAAGACTACCTTTTCTTGCCAGGTTGCTTCGATGGCGGACGCTTCTTCAGCTTGTGATCCGTCGACTTGACCGTCGTTGGTTTCTTCTTCAGTCGCTCCGGCGAGCCGTTGCAGCACGTGCAGCCCTTTTTCACGTGACCGCGCAAACTGGATCTCCTGGCGCGGCAATCCGCCGGTTCCAATGTCAGCATAGTATTCGTCTCGTCTTCCGACGCTTCGGACACCTTGTCATTCGACATCACCATCGATTCCGTTGTGGGTATCGACTCGGCCGCGGTCTTGGGAATCCGTTTGGAAAGTGCTATCGTCGCAGTCTTGTGATCGGCGCGATTCAACACCACTCTTGCGTTGACCAGCTTTTCTTTTCTTTTTACATAAGTGCAGTTACGATCGGAGGACAAGGATTTTAACGTTTGCACACTATCGTCCAGGCCATTGCTTAATGCGACATTGTCCTCTGTTTGGCTGCCTAACGACTCGCTGATGCTCGAGTCCTCGTCGTCGCTGCTGAACCTCATGCGCTCGGACATGGGGCTATCCCACATGTACGAATCCATGTGCACTTTTGATGACGGCATGCGCTTCTTGTTGGTGTACGTGTATTTGTGCGTGGACAGAAGCGGTCCAGCTACGCCCAGCGGGGACAATGGCGACGATATTGTATGATGATCTACAGCATTGCTGCTCAAGAGAGTCAGGCTCTCGTCTCCTGAACTGATCATCGAGGCATTGTTGACGTTAATAGTGGGCGGCAGCGATTCCGAGTCTAAATCGATGTCCAGTTTTATGTTGCACGGTATACTGGATGCGCTGCTAGGTGTACCCTCTTTCGAACCACTTCTCGACACTAGCTTGACACGATGACTGCCCATATCCTTCGATGAATCGTTTTCCAGTGAGACAAGATTTGTTGGTGACAACCTGGACATATCGGAATTGCTATTCGACGCTTCGTCTTGGCTCAGGCTGTCCAGAGTCAGTCGCATGTGTTTTGACGGAGTATCAAATTCTTTCTCTCGCTTTCCTCTCTTTAACGAGTCCTTCAAAACTCTCGTGCGCTGGCTTGTACTCTTCTTGCGTTCGGTGGTCTTGAAATCGCTCGTAGGACTGGCGTCTCTGCTACCACTTGACGAATCCAATGATCGAAAGTACGTACTGTTGTACGATTTCATGCCTAGAGGCTGGCTACAGGACGCATCCTGCGAGGATTGATCGAACGATGGCGAATGATTCGTGTCAAATAATAAATCCGCCTCGGGAAACAGATCGCTAGTGCTAGGCTCGTCGATTCCCAAGTTCTCGCACTCTTCCGACAAGCTTTTCTGCATCTTGAGCTCACGCTCATACGCCGCGGCTTTCTTCTCCGCTCTTTGCTGCTGTATCAGCTCACGCTCCAATTTGGGAATCAACTGCGACTTCATCAGACTCAGATGATTAACAAAGTACTTTTTGTTCGACTGGAAAGTCTGTCCGCTCGCCATGTCAATGCTTTGGTTCTTGATCTGCAGCACGCTCTCCGAATTGTCACTGTCCCTGAAATAAATCGTGAGCATTTAATTCTCGAAATAATGTTCAATTAAAACTCTTTAATAGCACGCTCGAACTTTTAACAGTTACCTAGAATACGCTTTCAAGGAATCATCGCTCAGTGTGTTTATCGACGTAGGAACATATCTCCATGGTGTGTCAGGCGAAATCTTGCCTTCCGAATCCCAGGCTTCCTGCAAACGCGCATTTTCGTACAATAGTCCATTTCCAATCTTGCAGGTTCCATCAAGCGTTTCAGTAGACGGTTGCATAGCTGACTCTTGACTGTCCGAACTGCTCGGTCCGCCGGTCACCAAGAACTGCGCCGTGCTATCAATGACACTCGACTGCTTGTTCGAAGTAATAGAAGACAAAGACTCTGTAAAAAAAAACACGTAAACAGAGATTAAAGAGTGTTGCTTTGAATGTTTTATATATGCAGTAATGTGAAAATAATATTATATTTAATAATACGTATTAACAAAATAGTAATGAAATCTGCAAGCAAAATGTGTAACAGCATTTCTACCACATGTTCTTACCAATTTTTGTATTGCTCTGTAACGACGTAGCAATATTCGTGGTAATCAGAGTTCTTGGCGACATGTCTTCCTGTATGCCGGTGGTGTCGTCGAATTTTCTCTTCACCATCTTCGGAGAAATGATCTTGGCGCCAGTTGTTATTTCGGTAGACGCTTCCTTTGTGTCTTTTTGCTGTTGCTGAGCAGCGTCGTTCAGCATAGCGTTCACATCGGTCTGCGAAGCAAACGCTAGCGCAATCGTGGCGCCTGATTGTATGGACACTGACTTTTCCGTGTGAATCTGACTATCTTGAGACGATTTCTTCTCCGTTATAGCCGGCGTGATGCAAACCATATTGTCCGTTTTCAAGTTGGTCGACGACAGTTTGTGTATATTCGAATTGAAGATTCTTGCCGTGTTTTGCAGCGCGGGATTGCTAGTGATGACGCCACATATCTGCTGACCGTCGCATATCTCGTTGATGTTTCGGGCTTCTATTAGGCTAACGGTCGAGTTGCTCTTGTTTACAACGATAGCCGTGTTCGTCGTCGCTGATTCGACGTTGCTGCTGCCACAGTTGCTAGCTACGGCATCGTTCTTCAAAGTTATATCACTGATTACAATGGGTTTGTTCTGCGTCGCGGTTGTCACTGTCGATGTTTCCGCAGTGAACTGCGTGCTTCCGGTCTGAGGGATGGACGCGTTCTGAACGTTCTGCGTGCTGGTCAGCGTCTGATTGTTGTTCGACAGCGTCTGCAGATTAGGCTGCACCTTCATTTGTTTCATCGGTTGCTGCGCAGAGATCAATTTGGTGTTCTGATTAAGGAAAGATTGTAGCACAAGAGTGTTGGAAACCGTGGCATTACCACCGGCGGTGCGCACAGTCGTCGGCATAGTTACCAGCTTCGACACGGCTCCGGATACGATAGTGAACTGCTGAGTACCTTTCACTAACGGCAATACAATGCTGGTTGGCATTAGCACAGACGTGCCGGTCACTTTGCTCGTAACCGAAGCAAGTGCCTCACTGACGGTTACGCCAGGTTGCAGCGCTTCCTGAACAATTAACGTGCGTGGTTGACCCGTGCTGGAGTCCGTGAAAATAAGATTGCGTCGCTTCACGAACTCAACACCATCGTTTGAATCGCTCAGATTACGTACTTCGACTTCCGCGGCAACATTACTGGCATTAACGTTCACCGACGGCTCTTCCGGTGCAGAAAATCCGGCTGGACTATCCTGTACGTGTAAAACACCACTAGACGAATCCTCGCTGCCCATTGTCCTGCCGAGATCCTCCATACTGGGACTCAGTTCGGAAGATTGCTGCCCCATTGACTTTTTGCTCGAGTTGGATTTCTTTCTTTTCGATGGCTGACTTGGATTAGTTGGCGGATTGGATCTTCTTCGAGGCGCCGGTTTGTTATTGAGATCCGGTGAGTTTCTCAGCTGCTCCGCGTACTCGTCGAGAATTGCGTAGATTCGTTGAGCGGTTTGTTCATCCTCTTGCGGCTTCTGTTGCGTTGGTTTCGGCACTGTAGGCGATGTCTTGGACGTGTTGGTAGAACTGTTTTTAACTGCCTTAGGTGTCGATTTCTTTGCGCTGGTTTTGCCACCTGGTGTAGCCGCCGTAGACGGTGGTGTTTTGCCGGTTGACGGGATCGGCGCCGGACCTGGCGTCACGCATGGGCTCGACGAGCTCTGCGACGTAACGCTCAACGCTGGCGACGCCGCTGGTTGACAATAACTGGTGACCACTACCACCGGCGCTTTAGAATTAGCCACTACCTTGGCGGTAACGGTGCCACTGCTCGGATTCACATAGGCCAGGGAGATTTTCTGCGGGAATACAGTTTCTTGTTGAAATGTTCTGCCGGTATTGCCGTTGCTGGCGAACGGTTCGCTGTTAGAGTTCGGTTGCGACATCATCAACTGTTGCGCTAAAGCACTGATAGATAGTTGTTGCTGTTGTTTGGTCGCTTGAGTCTGTTGCGGTGTGGTCTGCGTTTGCACGGCTGTCGTGGTCGCGCTGTTTGACTTATGGGCCTGCGGCTGAATGCTTCTTTCTTTAACTTGTTCCAACACACTTTCAAACTCTCGCAGCTGCTCCAGTGTTGTCGAGCTCACTTGATTATTCACCTCGATCGGAGAACCAATTAAATTGTCCGTTCTTACTGTTTGTTGCTGCTGCTGCGGCTGCGGCTGCGGCTGCGGTTGCGGCTGCGGCTGTCGCTGTTGTTGCTGCTGTTGCTGTAACCTCGGTGTCAAGACAGCTTGAATGGCCTGTACATTATGTCTGATTGGTGCGCGAATAATATTCAGCTTAACTACTGGAGCTCTACCACCCGGTACCGAGTTGGCATGCGATATGGCCGGTATGAGATTTATTGCCTGATTCGAATTATTGCCGGCTATCACCTTCTGCGTGTAGATGACGCCGGTATTTGACGAACTGACGTTTTGCACGAGTTGCGTTAACGTCTGATTGGCGGTCTGTTGGTTCGGACTAACGGCAGTATTCGCCGGACTGTTATTATTGGAGCTTGGCACAGCGTTAACAACCTGTCTTCCCGTAGATAATTGCAGATTGGGACCGATCGATTGCACATTGACAGTGGCGTTCAGCTGTTGTTGCTGCTGCGGTTGTTGTTGAGTGTTAGGCACAGACGTCTGTACCGCTTTCGACAGATTTGTTGTTACTTTTTGCGGAGACACCACCGCCACCGGTGGTGTTTGTTGGACTTCACCGAGCGGCGTATCTGCTGGGGTGCCAGCGACGCCGCTCGCAACCGCGTCCGTTGACAAAGTGTAAATCGATGTCTTGCGGAAAGCCTGCTGGAACTTGGGCAAAACTTGGGCGTTCTGGGTGGATTGCGAAGAGCCCTTCACGGTGGCATCGGTTAATCGACTGTAAGTATTTCTGTTAGACGGCGCATTACCAGTCACGTTGCTAGCACGTTGCTGCTGCGTCGTCTGTCGCACAAAGCTCGCACCGTTGTCTAAATTCTGCAAGCTCAATATGTTTCTCTGATTGGATGCGATCTGATTGGAATTAATCGACGCGATGTAACTGCTGCCTGGCTTGCAGATAACTTTTAATTGTTCCGCCGAAATAGGCGTCGTGACCACACCTCCCAGAGTTGTTGTAATTGTCGTCGTTGTTGCAGTAGTGATCACGGTCGTGGAGCAGGGTGATGAGGGTGACTTTTTCGGCGATTGATTATTTTGGCTGTTCATGCGTCGCATTTGCACCAATGTTCGCGCCGGACTGGATGTCTCGACAACGACACTGGCGTCAAGCTGGTGCTGCACCACCGAGGTAGCGTTGTTGACAGTCATCGTCGTTGTTGGAATTGTCGAACCAATAGTCGGCGACGCGGCATCCGGCGGCTGATTGGCTTCTTCACCGATGGTATCCGGTGTACCGAGATTCGAAGAAGACGATCTCGGTGGTGGTGTCTGGCCAGCTGGACTCAGACCAACGCCGCTATCGTGGCCGCCTGTTGACGATGGCGTGCCTGGCAGTTGTATACTGTTATTACCGCCGCTGCCACTCTGACTACTGGCTACGCTCGGAGTACGTGTCGGCCGCGGTGGCGTGTTGCCACTGACGTTGATTGTCGTCGCCGTGCCTGTGGCAGAGCTTGGACTCTGTGGCACGCCACTCCTAGAGAGCTGCACGACGTTTACTGTGGAACGTTGCCGCGGTGGAACCATCATGTCCAACGAGTTCAAACCCGGAACGTTCTTAGCTAATATATCGGAATGTCTCATGTCAGCTAGAATATCGAACTTGGTCTTACCCAAGTTGGATTTGACAGAGCCGAGATGGCTGTGACGGTGATTGTGACGATTGCGATGACTGTTGACCACGGAACAGTCCAGATCCTTTTTGCCGCCAGCGCCGTTGCTCTTGCCGCTTGTAACCCGCTCCTTTTGCTTCTTCTGATACGTTATCACGCTCTTGTTTGGCGAAAACGGCATTGTTTTCTGTATATTAATCAGTTCGCTGGTAATGTCGCCGCTGCTCAGCATCTGTTGCGGCTTTTTGACGCGGTTCGCCAGCTTGCGATCAATTTCGTCCGTGCGCGTTAGCACTATTCTCGGATTTAGATTAAGCGCATTTAGATTTAGGTTTAGATTCGGTATATACTTGGCAATCTCGTTCGTTGCTTGTTGCTCCGCATCTGCCCGACTTCCGTTGTTAGTGCTCTTCTTTTTGTTCAACAAATTTTTCTTCAGAGTTTGCGAATTCTGTTTCCTGAACATCCTGAGATTCTTAAGCACAGTCGGATCGCTCCGTCTCCCGCTTATTAGTAATGGCGCCGCAGCTGTGTAAGCCGAGCCCTTGATCGTTTCCCGTTTGTTCTCATCCATGTCTGGAGGAAAGAGCGTGATAAAATCGTTGCTGCTCGCATCTGATCCACTGGCGTCCTCGTGGGCATTTAAATGCCCCGTGTCTTCACCTACAAGCATCTGGAAATGCGAAACAGAGTCGACAGTGAGCTTCGACGCTTTTGGTCGTTTCTTACTGGATTCTTTGCTGCTTGATTTGTTGGATTTTTTCTTGACTTCCAACCGGCACCCGTCGCTACCCAAACTATCGGTCTGACTGTCCTGGGTGTTGCTATCGCTGTCCGACACCGAACTGATTCTATTCCTAAAGTGCTTTGGCTTCGGTTCGGCGCTGTCGTAATCGCTCTCGGACGATTCTAACCGATGGATTTTACGCGCGCGGGCACTGCGCCGCACGCGCAACACACTGCCGCTGTCGCTGTCAGTTGTGGTGTCGTCTAAACTACGGCGCGCGGATAAACGCTTGTAGCCGGCTGCCGGTTGAAAACTGCCGAACTGCTCCGAACTATCAGATGGCAGATCCGCCCATTGTTCATAGCCCTTTTCGATGCCAAAAAAGATATCCTTGGTGTCATCTTCTGATGGCCAGTCTTTAAACTGCGAGTAGTCAATGTTCAGGTACTTGAGCTCCTTGTTCGTATTGCGCATTTCTTCGGCATTTTCCAGATATCGCTCGCACAGATTTTTTAATTCCTTCCAGTCCAATACCCAGCTAAGCATATGGTAACGCGGACTGCTTAATACTACAGCCAGATCGTCGCACAGTTGCGGTGACAAACCCAGTTTCTCGCCGTCCAGTATTTGACTGGGCGCTGTTTTCTCATCGTAATTGGCCGAGCCTGTCACTGCATCGCCTTTGATTAGAATCAGCGCGTCTAACGTTCTCTCTACATTGCTGCCAGTCGTATTAGCATCATCCAATCGCGATTTATCGTCGTTCATTTGATTACTGTTGGTAAACTCGCCGCAATTGAAGAGTTTGTCGAGCGACTGATCGTGACTCGTATGTAACGAACATCTTTCGTTTGCCGATGATTTCGTCGTGTCAGATTTCCTCGTCAGCAAGCTCTTTAGCAATTGATTCGTTCGTTCAAACGTCGTTTTTGCCATTTGAGAATTTTGCTCTTTGTTGTTTTCTGCGCTCGAATTTTCTTGAGACTCTAATCGCATCTCTGAAATTGTGAAACTCGGAGCTAAGGACGTCTCGGCGCTATTGGGATTCTCTTTCGTTTCAGTTTCAACGATCTCCATTTTACCACAAATCTCGGTTTCTACCTCGATCTCCGTTTTAAAATCACCTTGTACCAAAGACGTCTCAGCAATGACATCATCTTTTATTATCTCAGTTTTAATATCATTCTTCTTCATTTTGACGTCAGTTACCACTTCAATTTCAGTTTTCACATCAGCCTCGGTTTTCAATGTCGACGTGAGAAGATGATCATTCTCTTCCCTGACCTCTTTCGTAGGCTCTTTCTTGATAGGCGTCTCTTTCTTAATAATTGTCTCTTCTTCAATAGTTGGCTTCAACGCTTCTTCCTTCACAGATAACTCCTTTTGCAAACCGTCATCTTCCTTCGTGTTGTCACTCACTTCTTCATTTTTCAGAGACTTTTCCTTGATAATATTTTCCTCCTCTTGCGAAACATCATTCTCTTTCGCTTTCCCGCACGCTATTGCCAATTCCTTTATTCTGTCGTAACAAGCTCTGGTGGGATGTAAGGAGAATGCTGTCAGTACGCACTCCCTCGCGATGCCTACATTGGTGTCCACTACATCCGCTAATTTGAGGAACTGCACACTCAGACGTTTGGCGGTCTCGCGCACCTTGTCCTTATCCGACTTCGCTTTCTGACTTTCTAGTTCGTTCATGTCCGTCGTCAGCGCTCTAATGTACAATTCGATTACCAAAGGTTTCACGCTCTCACCGAACTGTAATTAAAAAAAAATGTCACATTTTAACTGTAACTGTAACTGAAAAAATGTCTCATTAATCGTAATTGAAAAGAATTAAAATAAAAAGCAAAAGATAAATGCTACAATTTGTTTTTTATTTAATTTTCTAGTTTTTATTTATTCTTGACATTTTTTAATTCTGTTTTTATACTTTTATTTTATTCTAGTAGTTTTAATATGGAACAAAGGATATTTTTATTATTTATATTTGTAATAAACTTCAATTCTTTTTATATTAAATTATCCAACCACTCACATGTTTCGCAAGTACTGCGCAGAAGATATAAATATGTTGAGCACTTTCCGCGGGTTCGATTAATTTCCTAATCATGCCGGGTAGGGTGAGCGCGACATCCTTTAATTTTGAGTGCAACATCGCCCAAGAATTCAGGATCTGCTCCAAAATGTTCGCGCCGGTTTCCGATACCGGTCGAACCATGCCGGCTGTAACGAGATACTGCGCGACCAATTCCGCGGCCTTTATCGAATTTCTCCAAACACGCGCCGTACCATACTTCGTTGGCTTCTCACCGCTGAGCCTTTGGACCAATTCAAGCCCATCGTTGAGGTCCATTAATTTTAGCTGTAACAAAGCGCAGAGTTATGAATTCCAAACGCGGCTATTCAATTGCGGAACACGCTTTTGCACACACAGTTGCACAGAGAAATAACGAATCAATCCCTCAACTCAACATGATTTTGCTTGCTCAAAAAATTTAAAAATTTTCTACAAGAGGGAGAATGTTATTTTCTTTTTTTTTCTAAATCTCTCGCTCTCGGCGTGTGTATCTGAATAAATGCAGAATAAATCTTGGCAAATTAAATAAGTAGGTCGACGTGAGTCATGGCGAAGTAATTTGCTATTTTCGATGACATTTCTAGAACACATTGGAAGCAGTAATTCTACTCTTTTTCGATCCAAAGTAATCCGAGTGTCTCATTTACAATAAGCAGATTGGTCGCTTTAATCACGTATTTGCGCGCGAACGAATACTCGCACACGATTTAGACGTAATCCGATATTTCGTCGATCGATACTTACTTGAGCGAAAATATCTTGCGTGCGTTTCAATTTGTACAGGAGGACAATATACACGTCAATCATGTAGTGGACGTGATGAGACTCCGAGAGCGACCGCAGCTGATCGCTTCTTCTGAGGGAGCGTACACACGCAGCGGCGAGGTTCACCGCTATGTCCTCGCAGCGGTCCTCGCAGAGTATCTTCAGTCTCATTGTCAGCAGCTCGCCTTTCTCCGAACAACAGAATTCTGAAAGCACAACACGCTCTACTCTAACAGAGGTGTCGTTTCACGAGGAAGAATCTTTCTTTACGATATCGTTTCAGTGTAATATATAGTGTAGAGCAGTGTTTTTTCTCTATTCTTCTTCTGTGTCATTGAGAATTTGAGGACAGCTGAACTAAGTTGAAGAGAAGTTAAAGAAGCACAATTGATCAAATAAAACAATCTTGTTATCAATCCAGAACAATTAAGGGTTAACGCGTGAAAGACAATCGTATCGTGTATAAACTCACCACGCCATATGTCTACATGTTATGACTCATCATTTCACTTGAATATGTCTTACATATAGAACTTGTACGGATAGTCTAAATATTTGTTTTAATATTGCAATCATTTTTTAAAATAAGTTTCTTTGATAAGTTTTTAATTTTTTCACGCAACAACATAAAACTTTAACTACTTGTTAGATTTGCTTGAAGAATAGAGTGATTATATAATTTATTTTTTTAATGACAGAAAGCATTAACTTCTCTTTTCTTAGAGAACCAACATTTTTAATCTCTAATTCAAAGTTGGATCGAAGTGGCATCAATAACTACGTCTCTCGTCTTACCCTCTTCATGTTCGGAATCCGGTTGGCCGTTGAGTATACTTTCGAGAACAGGATGCGTCCATGGTCCATTGTTCGCCAGAGCCAGCAGAGTAGCACACCTGGATGCGGCGGGGTGTTGCACCTGCAGCTGAGACGAACACTCCAACGTGGCCGAACACTTCTGCAGCGTGTGTGAGAAGTGCGTTTTGGCAGCGGGTGGCAACTTCGGCCACTCCCCGCGCAATATCAGTGTCAACGTGTGTCTGCACAAAACGAGAGAACAACAAACGTGTGAGCGAGTGTTTCCGCGTTGCGGAAAGAACGACGATAGCGCATGTGTTTTCGATAGCGCGAACTTGTTTTCCCGTGCCGTGTGTTTGCGACACACATCAAAGTCTGCGCTTCGCGAAGACCAAACATTACATACAAAGAAGAAAAACACCCATTCGAAGCAAAAAAAAAAATCTGATCTTAATTTTTACAATTTCTTAAAGAGAGAGTATGACATTTTGTAATATTTCTCTAAAAAAATTAAAAATTTAAAGTAAAATAAAAAAAAATATAATAAATATAAAAGGAAGAGCTTGAAGAGTCAAGAACTTAAATAAAACATCTTGTTCGCTCCAGAATGCTCCTTATATTCAATTAGAAAAAAACAAGAATTTCGCGTTATTTATTCGTGCCTATATGAGGTTTAATTAACCCGCCAAAAACAATACCGAGCAGGCTCGTTAATTAGACTCCCAGTAAGAGAGTGAGTGAGAGAGAGAGAGAGAGAAAGAGAGAGACACCACTGAATTTTACGAAGAATAATGTTCTCTCGCACGTTCTCTCTCCCTTTTGGACCACCCTGTAGCTGCAGGGTGCCTCGGTTGTATACCCGTCACGTTAACGTGAATTTGCGTCGCATTGCTATTCAAAATTCCGGGATCGTTTGTATGACGGCGCTACATATGTGCAGATTCATTACTCTCGGTGCTGTCTCGGTCTCTCTTCCCCTCCACATCTCTCCACACTCTCATACACTCTCCCCGTCTCTATATCTCTCTCTTTTTCCCTCCCGTCACGTTCATCTGCGTAGAATGACGCTGTTACATCGAAACTCGTTTCGCAGTACTTTTTTTTTTGTCGAAAAAGCTCTGACTAGAGTAGCAGAAAAAAGTCGAGTGTACATGTTACGCATTAAATGGGTCATGTACACACGCGGATGTATCTTATAAAGGTCGGAAAATGAGATAAAATAATAATTAACACAATTAAACAAAATTACACTCAACTTTTATAACGCGCTACGAGTTTTACAAAATACAAAAGAACAACGTAATATTGTAATTTTAAACAATTACTAGCACAAGGCAAAACGAATTAGTTAATTAGTTTCCAAAAACAACATTTTAAAACTTGTCAACAATTGCACGCGAGAGTAAAAATATATCTCTATTTACTCCAATAAAAAAGAAATCTTTATTTAAGTTTGACATATCGCTTTGTTTTTAATAAAAATATGAGTTTACAGAATTCGTGATGTAAAAACATTAAAGGTTGAAATGTATGGATCCAGATTTTGTTTCGACGACAATGTAAACAAGAATTGCTGGCTTCGAACAGTCTGTCAGTTTCTAAGCACTCCGTGTGAATTTGTGCGAAACAAGTTTTTTTCTAACAAAAGACCGGTTATATAAGGTAAACGTAAATAAAATGAATGACGCGTAACCTACCTGTGAGCCCATTCTATGAGCGACTGGATGACCTCGGACGGCGCCCTAGGAATATAATTGGTGACATTCTCCCAGGCTGCCAGGAGTGCAGTCACCTTGTCGAGGTATCTCTTCTTGGTGTCACTCAACGTTACCTCGAGTCCCTGCGAAGCGATAGAATCTCTCGATTAATACAAATTAGAAAATTATCAGGAACGTAGAAACGCAAAGAAACGATCAATAGCGACATTACAGTGTTTTTACTGAATCCTTCATACACGCTTAGGTTTTTTACTTATTCACTAAAGAATTCAACAAATTTCATCGTTTTATTTTCATGTTAAAAAAAAACCTAGGAACACAAGAAATTAAAAATTGTAGTCTTTCAAGAACTTAATTAAGAAAACACCATCAGAAAATTAAAAAAAAACAGAAATTAAAAATTGTAGTCTTTCAAGAACTTAATTAAGAAAACACCATCAGAAAATTAAAAAAAAACAGAAATTAAAAATTGTAGTCTTTCAAGAACTTAATTAAGAAAACACCATCAGAAAATTAAAAAAAAACAAACAAACTCTCACTGGATTAAAAAAAAACACCATAACAAAACAAAATACCATCAAAAAATTCAAAACAAAAAAGTGAATATAATGTGATATATTGTTTATGCGTGATAAATTAAATGCTTTTTATTACATCATAATAACGACTTTATTTTTCTGTGATTGTGAGCAGACGATGTTTCATTATTGAAAAATGTTTCTATGTATTGTTTTATATCTATATTCTTTGACGGTTGTGTCCATTGCAGAATGAGCAATCTGTCCATAATGAATTTACGATTCATTCTCTGTACGTGGAATAATAATGTTCCCATTATAAATTCAAGAGAGTTGAAAGACAATTTATCACACAAATATTTTATTACTGATGCATGTGTATATATTGCAACAATTTTTCGTCAATTTTCCCGAAAAAAGCAAATTTCATTTGAAACTTGCTCACTTGAAATGACGTGCTTCATTGATAAAACTGTAGTATAGTCACCTGAAGTCGTAATAACAAAATGGACATTGCGCGCATCTTTGTTCGACAATGATACGGCCAGCCAAATAAGAGACGTCAGCTCTCTAAATCGTGAGATTAACTGTTAAAAATGGAGTAGTTTTACAGTGCATCTTCATAACTTCGACCTGTAAAGTTCTCGACAAATTGTTGTCGACTAAGATTTTCCACTGGTGTATTTAACTAGATTTGTTGATAATAATTCATATTTCGCACAAACAGAAAGTTTTAAGATAGTTTTAAGATAGTAGTTTAGTATGTATTCCGAATTCTTTGGTACGAAACGTTGCACAACAAGAGTTAAAGGTTAGAAAATCTGTCATTTTAAGCGAACGTAACGACACGAGCATGCGCAGTAGTCACATTCGCACGCGCAACGTCGCTACACAAATTCTGACTAGATTTTGGAATGTACGATATAACCTCTCAAAACGTATAAAGTTGGGACCGACAAACCTCTCAAAACGTATAATTCCCCTATTCCCTCACTCTTTAACTCACGCATGCGCAAAGACTTACTTGATATAAATGTGCAATTGCTAGCGCAGTTTCGGTTGTAACCATACTTAGTGGTGGGAAAAACGATGAAGGGGAAGATATACGTTTTGAGAGTGGCTTTGTATACGTTTTGGGAGGTTCTAAGTACGTATCTCTAGCAACAGATTTTCTAACCTTTAAAACTTAATAAATTTTGAAATTTTTTAACTCTTTGTGAACTGACACGGATCTCCACTGAAAAAAATTGCGCATCGACGTTTCTAATAAAAATTCGTTTTTTAACGCTCATATCTTTGAAACTATTGGGGATTTTTTTATGTTATTTTTTTCTATTAACGCAGAATTGTTCAAACGTTTAAAAAAACAATCGAAAAAAAAAACAAAATTGAAAAATATTTTTTACGGTATCGTTTAATTTTAAAGTCGCGTGGATCTAACAGACGTAACCAGTCCAACTAAGGGATATTTCCGAGAGTCGGTCCACAAAGGGTTGACCAGTGACATATGTACAATAGTAAATTACCATGCACACAGGTGATTATAATTTTTACTAAAATTTTACGTTTATTAAATTATCTATAAATATTTTTCTATCGACAGTCTCTTTAACAATAGATGATCACTTACGCTTCTATGTAGAGTGAAAGTAATTAAATGTACGCAACACACCCTCTAGGTTTTCTATTTTTGTCCTGTTTCACTTCGTAATCTTTTTATTTCTACACTCGATAGATTAACAAAATGCGACTTTTAATTCATTCTCCGTGAACTTGTATCCGTCGAGTTTTCATTAAAGACATTTTCACAACATTTTTACGAACCTTCGCGCCCTTTTTCTATCAAGCTCCATTTAATAAAAAAAAATAATAATACATATAATGGATTTATTTACAACTTCTTATTTGATCTTGTAATCCTACACTAAAATAAAAACTCTGTCAAAATAAGCTGTAAGTTATACAAGCGACATTGATAAATCGACTCGTATCGGAAAATCACGAAGAAGCACAATTCGGGAGATATAAAAATTTGGACGAGATAGCCACGTCAAAAATTATCCGCAAAGAGATAAAGAGCACACCGAATTTTTCGAAAAGAGAACAGGATATTGAAAATCACGAGCTAGTACATAAAATCCGTGTTTTCCTCGAAGAGAAACGATGTTCTCTTAAACTCGCGTGTGACACATCAGCATATTCAACAATTTTTCACCGACAAGATATGACGTGTGTTAAATAAGTAAATAAATAAATAAATAAAAAATGACATTACGATCGCGTGACAAAAAAATCGAGGAAAAAATGACTTTTGAAGAAATTTTGTCCTGTGCGATTTCTTCAAGCACGTTACTTTTGCTCGAAAATGTTTGAGGGAAAGATTACCTTTCTGCCGCTTAAAATGTAAAGCGCAGAAAAAGATTCTTCGAAATATGACAAAAACGCGGATTTCGAGAAATTGATGAACGAGAAAGTATCATAAAAATCTCAGCGGTGGTACAAAAGGAGTTTCGGAGATTCGCGCACACAGCAATATACATATACTAATCTCTCCAAACAGGAAATACAAGGATTTACCGTGAAATCTCAAAGAGAATCGTTGTCGTGTGTGCGCATTCCAGATGCAAAATTTCCACGGCTCGTTGTTCGGTTTTTGAGATCCGAAAGAGGTTTCCATTCCATTTCGAGCGAGTTAAAAGAGAAAAGAGTCTGCCTTGAAGCATCTATAGCGTGTGTATACGTATTTCTTTTGGAAAACGCGGCTGCACGTAACAAGCGTAATGACATTTATCCGCGGGACTTTGAAGTGACGTTCCCTCGGCAAACAATGTTTACCAAGGACCACGTAGTTTCCGTGGAGGATTGATAACGCGGTTAAAGCTGCGGGATTATTCGGGAATCGCATTATTCAAAGCAATTACCAGTGCGCGCGCCAAGATTTGCGCATTAAAGTTGTATACGAAAAAGTTCGCGATTTTCGCAAACCGAATTGTGAAATAAAATATTCACAAATCTCTTTAATCGGGGAAAAATTATTTTTACGAGTGAAAATTGGTCGCGTGAAATTTCACTTTCCCGCGCTTGTTAAAAATTGTTGAAAGGAATTTTCCTTCATACGTAATAAACTATATTCCGTAATATTTTTTTTCAGTAATATCCTGAATAAATCTAAATATCTGAATATTGTAGCGTCTCACATTTTCCAATTAAAAACAATTATTTTTCAGAGAAAAAAATGGGTTTCGCCATTAGGTTCATTGTCAAAAAAATTCAGCAAGAGATGCATGTGTGTCATGCCAGACGAATAGTGCGAAAAGAGTATACGCTTCGTTATCGGAATAGTCGAGATGTATTTCGGGACTCTGTGATATATACAACTCGTCTGCGGAATAAAAGCTCGTTCGGTATGTATAGCCGCGTAAAACGCATCAGCAAGGAGATTTGTGCGAATCCGATGCACTACCGTAAACATATTAGACCGGATGGCACTCGGCAATAAACCGCAAATACCTCGGCGATCGGTACGAATTTGGCATGATGCTGACAAATCCGTCGAGTAAATGTCAATCCTGATTTCCATCGGTTCTTTTTGGTTAATCACCGCACTTCGCCGCACTCCATGCCTGTGTGCCGGGATAACGCAAAAAGAGAACGCGATCAAAATTGCAATTTTTCTCGCGATAAAGCCGAAACAAGAAGCACATTAAAATTGACTATTTTCATTACTAACAGTTTTGCGACGCTTTTTACGACTTTCCATCGTTAAATTAATAAAGTGATAATCGATATCAGATTGGAAGTCGCGCAGAAGAGCAGTCAATTAATTCCAATAATATCGATATAACAATATAACAATAGGATTTCTCTGTAATTGCTATTAAATTGCGCGTGTGGAAATTTAGAAAAAGTTACGGTATATTCGCGCTCTCTGTTGCAAAACCGTTATCGTCATCAGGCATGGAAAAGCTTTTCTCTTTGTCCGCAAATATTCCTACTCACATATCTGAAAGGAATATTCTCTCTGTGAAGAGACGGAGAAAATGTAGAAGTTCTTATCTATATATCTCGGTGGAGACTTTATGTCGCATAATATTATTCTGTTTGCTCTTCCCGGGCGTGTTTCGCTACATGTGCGCACGTAAGACATCAAAGGATCACCATAAAATTAATATTGAAAACAAGAATTGAAAGATTCAGCGTAACAGTGTAATCGAGTTTTTGCTTTTTTTTTCTTTCCTTTCCTTTCATTTTGTTTCTTTTGTTACAATCTCATTATTTTCAAGTAGTAATTGCCTCACAGAATTATTCTGATAAATTTAGACGTACCTTTTTGAAATACTTTATTCCCTCGGGGCTGAACGAGCCACTGTTCGTCGCTGGGATCGATAACTGCAAGAAAAAAACCGATGATATTGTTAGAATCATTAGTATCACAAGATTTTATAAGTTACTTAAGTAAGTGCTCTTAAAGTGTGTAAGAAAACTTTTTATATAAAACAATATAAATCCGCGCGTTTGAAAAGCATCGATCCTTGTACAAATCTGTGTTCAAGCGAGAATTTGTTACGGCGCTTATTTTAGGATCGCTCTGTATACACTCTAATGAATCACAATCGCTTTGTTATTATGCAGACAGAAAATCAGACATATTTAATGTTGGGAATGCGCCGCGAATACAATACGAAGACGATGCTAAATCGGTAGTGCAGCTAAAAGCTGAGAGAGAGAGAGAGAGAGAGAGAGAACAAACGAAGAGACGTCATCTTCGTAAACTCAAGCTGAGAGACGTCGCGACGCTTCGCGGAAATACCAACGGTATTCCCTGCAACGTACATACCCAGGAACGTACTCGACACGTTGCCCACAAATTCTCCGCGAATGCGCCTGGATGTATCGTGTATCCAGAATACCGAGAGGGATATGTATGTACAGCGGGGAAAGGGGGGAGAGAGAGAGAGAGAGAAAGATTCTTCAATGCAGAGAGGGAACGCGAGTGCATCTTTGCGCGATCAGCGAAAAATCCCGACGCAGAGTAAACACAGCGCCGAGACACGACGGCGCTGCTTTAACCCATCTATGCACTGAATCTCCGTAAAAAACGAAAGAGAGAAAACCCAGAGCGTTTCATCATGATAGATTACGAAAGTCAGCACTACTTGTGAACATGCGCGATATGACGCTCTAAAAAGGTTCTTTAGACAGAATCTTTCGACACGAGATGGTATCGCGAGCAAGTTGCGCTCTGTATTAACTTAATTAATTACTAGATACTTCGAAACTATGACAATTGAAGTTTCAAAGATGTAATTTTTGTAAATACGACGCGTAAAAGTTTTTACGAGTTTCTGAAAAACAAATTTTACAAGCAATTTTCTAATTATTACGTGCAACGTTTTTGATATAACAAAAAACAACCACGTTCGTGCAACAAGTTTTTCGTAAATCTTTAAAGGCCGCAAGCACGCGAGATTATTACGTTGAACACTGCAGCACGTCTAATATATACACACACGTACACAGACGTAACGCGGCAATGTTAGAAATCAATTTTAATGTTGCTTTTATTATATGAAAAATACAGGTAAATAACTACTTCCAAAGCAATTTTCTATAATATATTTCCTGTCCTACATGTGTCATTTACGATGTTTACCACGTACGTTGTATATGGCATAATCTGCGAGGTGTCACTAATGTTATTTCTTCATTTTTACATCTGACATTTTATTATAATATATTACATTTGGAAAAAGTAATATACAATAGAGCTATCTCTCGCGCAGATGTGTATACAATCAAATTGTTCCGCTACCCAACACAAAAATTTAGAAATTGTAAATTTTTTTTTTTTTTTGTACGCTTTACTCTTTAGAAAGTTCGGGTTGTGTATGGAACGTTTCAATCTTCCGGTCTCTGTGTGGGTGTGTGTGTTATTACGTCGGTGTTAGCATTTTACCGCACAATTCTCTTTTTTTTTTCTCGTCTCACATAATTTTTCTTCGCGACAAGTTTCCGAAGCTACGCTAAGACATTTTTACGCAGCGCGCCAGTTTCGCTTTCCAAGCTTATCCAATTGTTTTTTTTCCAATAAACTTTTCGCCGACAATCACTTCGATTTTTTAATCCGTTCCGTTGCACGTTTTCCACGATATGTGAGTAAGTTTTGCTCGCAATCCGCTTAGAATTATCATGCAACAAAAGCGCCGGAAATATCGAGTATATCGCGCGCGCGATTCTCTCTCAGGCTTAATTTCGCGACGTTTATCAAAATCGATTTATCCGCCGGGCGATCTTCTCGGCTCGCGAATCTGCGGATCGGCCTCCGATGGCACACACAGACCGGCGGCTTCCCGGAGAATTACGAATCTAGGTCAAATGGATCCGCCGCGTAATAACTTTTGAGGTTGACATTGAGGCATCGCGAGATTCCTCCGGGCTTTCATCCGGCCCAACGATATTACGAAAAATGGAATGTTTGCTTCTGTTATATGTAAAACTCTACTCCTCTCGCGGTATATCATTATTCTTTTCGCTATTATCTCCGCAACCTGCTTCAAACTTCGCTCGTTAGATATTGAAAATAAAAACGAGTTTACGCAGATTAATAGAATAAAATTTTTTTTCACGAGAGAATTAAAGCGCAGTATCATATATCTCGGATTTTTAACTCGGAATTTTTTTTTTTTTTTTTTTTTATTATATCGTTTTTCGTTTGTCTGAGCTTTTATTTTCAAAAGAGATTTCGATGATTTACTCTCCGAGTGTGTAACGTAACGATAGCTCTTTACAAACTGAGAGATATGGCAGCTGATCTTCGTTCTCTCGTTACACTATTAAACAACATCCTCAGTACTAGCGCAGCTTCAAGAATAATGCAAAATACATACGTACTCGACGAATTCTATATTGTCGTTTTAGATTTAGAAGCCGTCTGTTATTTGCAATAAATGTTTCAATAGTACAAGTTCTCTGCAACTGTTCGTGAAAATCCTTACGGTTTTCGCTTGTAACAGAAATACCAAGATCCCTTTGTTGCGTAAACAACAACCACGTAAACAATGCATCCTCAAGAGCTTCGTTTATAGTCGGTTTGATGGTTTTTCTGTTCAGGCGCATTCCGCGAGTGATCATCATTACAGAGAACCGTTCAATCTTTGTTCGACGTTTTTTCCAGTGACTAACTGTAGGACCAGTTACATCAAAGCCAGACGCATTTCTTTCAGTGATTCAACCGCATCTATTCGATGAAGAGTCTCTCTCAAGTTTTTTTTTTTTTTTTTCCATTGGCAGTATGATAGTCTTTCTTTTAATCTCGTGATTTAATGTATATAATTAAACAATAGGCACTCTCTATACGCTATGACTAACACTGATGCCTGACCGAGCTGTAGCTCCGCTTAAAGCCGCGCTAATATTGAGAATGTTCGATTTTGTCGCCCGTAAAACGAAAGCACAGATCACTTGAAAAAACCAGGTCTCATTCTATTGATAAACATAGAAAAGCAATCGTTACGATAAACGATATTCAAAATAAGTCATCGTTATATATTGTTTGTGTACCTCGAATAATCGAAAAATCCTCGGGAAATAGAAACCAGAACACCAGATAATCGAAAAATCCATACAATCGAATTTCCGAAGTCCCGCTGTACACTCAAAACGAAATTCAACTTTCCGCAATATACATTTTTTTTTTTTTTTTTTTTTTTTATATTACATTGTACAAGATTTGCAAAAATGTTTGCTTCACATCTCAGCAGTTTCGCGAGAGATGAGTTCCGCTTCAATCAATATTTCTTCAGAATATATTTATTAGAGCGCGCAGGAGAGAAGGAAAACTTGACGTAACGAGTCAATCGAGATGTAATCCAGATGGCAATAAAAATTTCTAGAAGCAGGTGCGAGATCTTTTTTCCGAGCACGCACGCTCGGTCGATCGTTAGACCGGGAGCTTTATTCCAAAGCGCAACTCCCAAGCTCCGCTTACTTACACGGAAAAGTCTCGCATCGTCTTCGCGCGCAACTTTGCCCATTTGCAACTTTCGCGTTGAGGTTTCCCTCTCTCGCGCGCGAGTCTGCCCTTGTTCCTCCCTTCTCCGGCAAAAAGGACCTCGGTCCTCTCTCCCAATTTCGTTTTCTTTCCGACGAAAATGGTTTTACGTTCTCACGTAACAAATTCCGCAGAAGAGAGACGCAGGAGAGAGAGAGAGAGAGAGAGAGAGAGTTTAATATTCTTTTTCTCTCTCTCGCTCTTTGTAATTCTTTTCCAGAAAGAGTTGGACGGACGTTAGAATAGCAACTCCCGCTTCTCTCTTCGCAAAGTGCCATTTCATGAAATACAGAGACACAAGCGTGTAACAACAACGCGCGATATACAGAGAAGGAAACACATTTTTGCAGAAAAGAAATCCGAAATTTATTTTTATCCGAAAGAAATGGCGCATGTGTAGGTATATAAAACATCAGAATAAGTCTGCTATGTGAAACGAATGCAGAAACTCTGCAATCTCACCAACAAGAACCTACTTTCATGTAATTTTTCTTTTTATTGACGGAAAGAAAATTTATTCTACCGAAGTTATACCGCGATAAATTCAGAATACAATATTAAATATTGATCATCGATGTGTCACACAAAAACATGTGGCCGAAACATTGGCCAAAATAAAAATTATAAATTATAATGAAATTACAACTGTAATAAAATTTTAATAAAATAAATTTGCCGTAATAAGAGCAAAATCCATCGACGCTAATGGAATTGTTATTTCATATATAATTGCAAGTGATTATTAATTGGCTATTCAGTGCTCTATTCAATACGCAATGAATACATAAATTATTCAATACGCGGAATAGCAAAGAGAGAATCACATCAGAATTCAATTATATTCCTCCCGTGCTTTTTAACAGTTCTTCTCCATCCGGTCTTATATATATTGTTGCTGCATATTTTAATTAGTCGCAGAAACTCAATTGTTTACAAGAGCGTTTTCGTTCCGGTAACATTTAGAGAATTACGGAGAAAATACAAATATAAACCGGAATATATACTCGTGACTTTTTTTTCTCTCTCTTTTCTGTCTCTGTGTTTTTACAATATATACTTTTTTATTTCTCTCTCTCTCTCTCCGAAATTAACTCTTCGTCTTTAAAGCAAGCGGAAAAGTTTCGAACTCAAAAAGGAAAGAGAGAAAACTAAATTCTCTTCTATTGGAAATAAAAATAAATCGCGTGGCAACATAAAATGCGGGTTGATATCGGTTTTCCAATTTGACGCAGCATCCAGCCGCGTGGAACCGACACACAATCGATATACACGCTCAATTATTAATTAAGAAACTACCATTTTCAGATGTAGTTAATTATATTTAGAGAATTGATATTCT